AGAGAGGGGAAGGTAAGGAAAGAGGGAGAGAAACATCGATTGGTTTCCTTTTATGCATGCTCTAACCAGGGACTGAATTTGTAACTCAGATATGTGCCTTAGCTGGGAATTGAAGCTGCAGCCTTTTAGTTTATAGGATGACACTCTAAACAACTGAGCCACATCAGCCAGGGCACTACTTGGATTTCGTAATCTGGGACCAGGGCTGTTATATATTCTGTGAGAAACAAGAGTGTGCTGCCCAGTGAAGAATTGGCCCACCCCAAAAATGCCAAGAGTACCCTTTTTTGAGAAACACTGACTAACTTGGTTCATGGCAGGCAAATTCAGTATTAATCTAGTAATTTTAAATCCAGGATTATTAACCCTTGCTCAGTTACTTCAGATCTTTTCTGCCTATTTTTCCCATTAGACTTGGGTACTAATTCGTCTGACCTGAGTATTTCATTACATCATAGTCTTTGTCTTTTTGAGAACTAGGGTCAGTGTTTCTAGGTCTCCCTTCTATTTTGTATTGTGGGACACTACCTGTGTCAGTCATAAGCATTGTCCAGTGTTGTTTTTGTAGTGTACGTGACATTCAGTTTTCACGTATTTCTCTGGTGTGGGTGATTCTACAGAAATGCTTCCGCTGCCTGTGTCCCATTTTCTCTCCATTCTAGGTAGTCTCTTGGCAAGTCATCTGCTTCTCTAACTTCTGTGTGTTTCTTTAATCCAATTGGAAACATAATGATATGTTCCCTCCACACTATTGATAGGCCCATGGGATATTGAGAAGGGTGGATATTCTTGGATATTTCTATTTAACTACATTATGCTGCTTCCTACCTTGGTTTTTTAAAGATATCTTTCTTTGTTTTTTTTGTTTTTTTTTTTACTTGTAGTTATTCTCCTAAAGCACAAGCCCTCTACTTTTGAAAGTTCCCTACTGTATTAGTTTTCTAAAGCTGCCATACAGGATACCAGTAACTGAGTGTGTGAACAACAGAAATTTATTGTTACAGTTCCGGAGGAAAGAAGTCTGAGATTGGGGCAATGGCAGGGTTGGTTCCTTCTGAGGGCTGTGAGCAAAGGATCTGTTCCATGTCTTTCTCCATGGCTTATAGATGGCTGTCTTTATGTGCATGTGGCATCCTCTCTGTATATGTACTGCGTCCAAATTTTTCCTATTACAAGGTCACCAGTCATACTCGATTAGGAACCCACCCTAATGACCTCATTTTAACTTGATTACCTCTGTAAATACCCTGTCTCCAAATGAGGTCTCATTCTGAAGAATTGGGGCTTAAGATTTCAACATATATATTTGGGGGAGAAAATGGAACCACAACATTAACTAATATCATTTTTTCTTTTCTTTTTTTAAATAAAGAAAAAGATCTACCCAAAGTAAAGTTAAAATATCCCTATCCAACACCTAAAATTATGTAAAATATAGAGAAAGAAAAAGTCCTTATTTCTATCCAACTTTCATCCTCCAAGTTACCCATTTTCCTCTACTTTTCTGTGTCAGTACAAAGAACTATCTCATTCTTTTTACACACTGAAGCATTCCATTTCATGGGCAATACTGCAGTCTAATTAATTGATCCTGTACTGATGAACATCTGGGTTGTTTATAACCTTTATTATAGGCTGTACAGAGATAATTTTTGTATACATTTCTTTGTACATGTGGATATTTTTTGTAGGACACAGCTTTAAAATCTCATGTACTGGGTCAAATGGAATGAACACTTAAAATTTTTGAAGATACTATTCAATTAACCTACCAATTTATACTACCACCAGCAGGATATGAGAGAAGGCTTCTCTTTGTGTTCTCACCACCATTGGATAATATCAAGGGTTTTTTTTTTTAATCTTTGCTTGTACCATAGGAAAAAAATCTCATTCTTTTAATTTTTATTGTCATGAGTGACAGTATTTCTTTATTTATTGACCATTTTATATATGTTGACCATTTATATTGACCATTTTACCTGGGTGAGCTCTTTGCCTCTTTTTCTTGAAAGAATTTGTATTTTTCTTATTCATTTATTGAAGCTCTTTGTATGTAGTGGATCTTAGCTCTTTGTCTGTTATATATAGCACAGATATTTTATCCAGTGTATTATTTTATTCTTTTTGATGCTATAATAAATGAAATTGTTTTTGTAATTTCCTTTTCAGATTATTTAATATTAGTGTATAGAAATGTAACTGATTTTTGTGCTTTAACTTTGTATCCCGCAACTTTGGTGAATTCGTTAGTTCTGACAGTTTTTTTTCCTTTTTGGTGGAATCTTCAGGGTTTTCTAAATACAAAGTCGTATCATCTGCTAACAGATAATTTTACTTCTTCTTGCGCATTCTGGATGCCTTTAATTTCTTTGTGTTGCCTAAATACTTTGGCTAGAATTTCCAGTACTATGTTGAATGGAAGGGGTGAAAGCTAGTATACCTGCTTTGTTCCTGATCTTAGAGGAAATACCTTTCAGTATTTAATCACTGAATATGATGTTTGCTATGGCTGTTTCATATATGGACTTTATTATGTTGTGGTATTTTCCTTCTACTTCTAGTTTTTTTAGTGTTTTTGTTATAAAAGGGTGTTGAATTTTTTCAAATGCTTTTGCTGTATCAGTTGAGATGATCATGTGGGGTTTTTCCTCCTTCATCTGTTAATGTATGTTACATCGATTGATTTTTACATGTTGAACCATCTCCAATTCATTCTTGCTCCCCTCCATTTGCTCCCAAAACAGTAGCAATGCATATATGGTCAAATCTTTCCCTTTGATTAAAACATTTAAGTGATTTCCCATTGCTGTAATGAAAAGACCCAAATCACTAATATAGTCTGTAGAACTGTCCCGTGCAGCCCTAGCTCTCGGGCCTCTAGCCATATTAACTTTTTTTTTTTTACTTCCTTGATGGGGCCATGCTTCTTCCCCTAAGGGGACCCATGCACATGCCATTTTCTATGCTTATTATCATTTCACCTCTGAATACCATTTTATGCATAGAAAACTTTGACCCATACTTAAGATTTTAACTATCATTTCCTAAATAAAACCTTCCCTGACCTTGTCAATCTATGTGAAGCCTAGATTACATGATCTTTTTTACCATACACTTTTCTGAAGTAATTTTACATTTACTTGTGTGATTGTTTGATTTCAGACTATAACCTCCATAGACCATTAATTCCATGAAGGCAAGGACTATGTCTGTTTGTTCACTGTCACACTCAGTGGCGTAGCGTGGTGCTCAGCACATAGTCAGGGCTCAAATATTTATGGAATAAATGAGTAAATTATGACCTTTTGGTTTTACCTCTTGATTAGAAAGGTTATTGAAAGATTTGAGGAAGACTATCATTAAATTTGCTTTTTAGAAAGTTCTGTCATTTCATATTTGTGTGAAAGATGAATTGGACTCTGGCTGGCGTAGCTCAGTGGATTGAGTGTGGGCTGGGAACCAAAGTGTCGAAGGTTCGATTCCCACTCAGGGCATATGCCTGGGTTGCAGGCCACAGCCCCCAGCAACCGCACATTGATGTTTCTCTCTCTCTCTCTCTCTTTCTCCCTCCCTTCCCTCTCTAAAAATAAATAAATAAAATCTTTTTAAAAAGATTAAAAAAAAAGATGAATTGGAAAAAAAATTTGAAGGCTAGAAAGACAAATAATTGATTGATTATGATGATCTTCTAGGCTCCAGGTAATAACGTCCTTAAAAAAAAGCAACAGCATTAATGATAGAGAGAAAGTGATGGGATTTTGGGAGAACTATTTAAGAGGGAAAACCAACAGTACCCATTGACTGACTGGATATGGTCATGGTGGAGGAGAAGGAATAGCCAAGTATCAAATTAAAATGAAATATGTGAATTAGTATGAGGCAGCAGTACATAATAGGTAAGAACAGAGCCTGAAGAAACAACGTAACTTACTAGCTGTACTGCTGAGCACTTTTACTTAATATTTGTTTAACTCTGTTAATTATAAGTAAGTGTCTCATAGATAGAATTTTTGAGGTTAAATGAGCTAATAGATGTAAAATGCCTAGTATTTTTACAGTTTGTTCTATACTTGATCAAGTCATTTAATCCTCCAAACTCAGTTTCTTCTGAGAGATGAAATGATAATATATCACCTGTTCTTCCTTCATCACAGAATTACTTTGAAAATGTAAGGCCTCTGAAAATTGTAGATTGGTAATCATAATAGCTAGACATATTAATAATGCCTAATAGAGAAAATGATCTCTCAAATTGTTGTTAATATGACTTCATTTCTTGGTTCATTTTTGTCAGATATAGGATACATCTTGGCCATAAGAACAGGAGTAGTATAGAGTTTGCCCTATTGAGAACAGTTTTCTGCTTGCGCGAAGCTCTCTGTGATAAGTGACTGATGAGTTTTCAAGAAAATAATTCTTAACAGGGAGCTAAGGAGATTCTTGTTGCCTGGTATGGAAGGGAGAAAGAAGTAAGATTATCGAGAGCCAACCCTGGAAGGTGGAAATAAGGTGCTAGTGAAAACAGCTGGTATGATTATTATTCCACACATAAGGCTAGTAAAAAACAGAAGTTAAAGCCCGAAATTCCCAATCATTGTTTATTTCACCCTGCTATATTACCTTTCCAAACAGAAATAGCAGATGTAACTGTCCATAAATGCCTATGTTATTCGGTATTGTGTTTGGGAATTTTGCCTAAGGGCAGCTCAGATTCCGCCCCCTGGCGCGCCCCCCCCCCCCCGCCCCGCTTTTGTATTTGCTGATCTTGGCTAAGATTTTTATTTTCAGCCAAGACTTTCACTTTCCTTATTGTTGGCAGACATATAATCTCACACTCTTGCTTTGAATTGGTCTTGTGTCCAATTTCTTCAATGCATTTTCCTTTGAAGTTTTTAGTTTTGTAAATGAGGTTTCCTATCAACCAGTGTTGTTCAGTACTGGTTTACTCCCTTTATACTGTGACCCTAAGTAAATTTAGTATATTCTTTTTCCTGCAGGTTTTCTGTGCTTCCTGCTGTAGCCTGAAATGTAAACTGTTGTACATGGATAGAAAGGAAGCTAGAGTATGTGTAATCTGCCACTCAGTGCTAATGAATGGTAAGTATTATTAAAACAAGTTGAATTCACAGTTTTGGAGAACAAGAGAATTTCCTCTCTCTACAAGTTGTTTAGCTTCTGAAATGTCATAACTTTAACTGAAAATATTGAGCTAAACTTCCATGTTTTGAAAATATTTTAGCATTTCAGAATTCCTGTGCCTAAAGTACTGAATGAATGCTAAGTTCAGGTGAGTTTGCAGAAAGAATGGAAGTTCTTGTGGAAATGTGGCACCGTGTGGCTGTTAATGTTCATGTGAAATGATCAGAGTGGGATGAGGGTGTAGGGCTGTTGACCACTTAGAGGATGAAGGATTAAAATTGGACTGAGGTTTGCTTTTCTAGAGAAGCTATCTCTTTCTAGGAAGTATCTTAATAACTTAGAATATATTCTTATTAACATCTTGTTTCATTTACCTTGTTAAAAATAAATATTGTAGCATCCAAGATCAAATAGAAAATCACATTTCTCTGTCAGTTGTCTCCTTAATACTACTTAAATTTATCATAAGGATAAGGGTTTTGAATTTAGTTATATGGAAAAAGAATATGGCCTGGAAAAGGTAAATATAGCTTATCCAGTGTTCCTCTTTTACAGGATTGGAAGTGAATCAAACGACATTTTAGTTAAGTTAAACAAAGACCACCCAGAGAATTCTTGTAAACAGATATGATTGATCAGGCTGTAGTATTTTTCTCTTTGAGTGATTCTTTGTACAGTTGTCAGAACAACTACTAATAGACATAAAATGTTGAACTTGGACACCACTGCTGCTTGTGCCAGGGTAGTGTACTGTGCCTCCTGGAAGCTGAAACTTATCTGGTCGAGGCCCTTGCTGCTCTGTCTGTCTGCGTTGCTCATAGTGATGTTTTCCTGTTGCTGGCTTATTAACCTATTGCATGTCAGTTAATCTGATCTGTTCTAATCTCCTATCAGCCACCCAATTTCCTCCCATTTCTGAAGTCTTATAATTTTGATCAAATATGAATTCATTCTCTTTACTTCTGAGGGTCATTTTTTAGATGGTGGTTATTTCGCTCTGTTGCTCAATTGGTGATTTTTATTCCTGCTTTCATTTTCAGACATATATCCACAGATAAAAGCATGCTGCTTAATTACGGTTCCCAGTACCTCTTTTATTTGATGAGATCTTTCAGCTCGATAGCTTTTTTTTTAAACTTGGCAAAGCTAAAGATGAAGGAAATGGCAGAGAATTCATATGACTACTTACATTTTATTAAGCAAGTATGCCCTTAATGGGACCCTACAGTAATCTACTTTTCCTGGTTTTTCCAGTGTCTTTCGTTTCGCATGGCTTAGCCCGGTCTTTTACTGGAAATTTAATTTGATGCTTTTCAGTGTCTCCTATCCCCTTTTCCTTTTCTCGTCTCCTCTTTCTGCCAATGCTTTCAAAGGAACTATTGTTTTTAGCCTTGTCCTGCAGTTTGGAGGCAATAAATATTCAAAATCTTACGGATCATTCTTTGATGTTGAATAAGATTTTAAAAAAGATGTTCAAAAAGTCAGGTGGTTTCTATTCCTGGGTATGTGATATTACCTGAACCTGGATATAAAAGTTGATATCTTTCATTTCTGTAGCATCTTTCAGCTTATTTACTTTAAAGGCGGTAGTTGATATGTCCATATTTAGTTAAACTATAGAGTATACAGTATTTTAACACATTTATGAGCATTTGTACTGGTTGATGACACTTATATGATATTGGCATATTTTCATGCTCAAATGTGCTTTTGAGACACACCAAAGATGTGACGTGGTTGTTTATGCTCAATGCTTGTACACAGGGTGATGATTTCACAAAGGCAGAATTCACAAAAATGTTGAGATGCATTCTCCTGAGCTTTAGGCTTCAGAATTTTTCAAATGAGATTTTACCTCGACTAAGAGGAGAACCTAAAAGTTTAGAAGTTACAAAAATACACAGCGGAGTCATGCTATTTTAGTCCCTGATTTTTATTTTTAATAGAACTTTACAAAATGTATTGAATATTAAACCTACATACTCCAACCCCAAATGTCTAAATGATATTCCAGTTCCAAATCCTTAGTAAGGGAATGTATGGTCTCTTTTAAAAAAGCCAGGGGCCTAGTCATTAACCTCAGACTGACCTATCAGTTTGTATCAGAAGTATCATGTAATTCTTATTTGTTGCTTTCAAATAGTTTACTTACTGGTCTCTTTTATTGAATAAAACTATTTATCTCCTTGATACCTTCCCTAGGTGGAAGAGAGAGACATACTATGAGTGTTAATGAGGAGGAGCTACATTGTTTATCCATTATTGTGGAGGTCTTGATGTCCATATTTTGCAATCCATTCACATTGATTGTGTCTGTATTTGCTTTAGCTCAAGCCTGGGAGAACATGATGAGTGCCTCAAGCCAGAGCCCTAACCCTAACAATCCTGCTGAATACTGTTCTACTATCCCTCCCTTGCAGCAGGCTCAGGCCTCAGGAGCCCTGAGCTCTCCACCTCCCACTGTGATGGTACCTGTGGGAGTTTTAAAGCACCCTGGAGCAGAAGGTAGGGAATCATGTGCTATTCTCTCTCTTTTTCCTCACCAAGTTCCTCTGAAAAGGTGCTGATGTGATTTTACAGCACAAGTCTTTAAAACACTGCAGCTAAGTCCCTTTAGATGGTTATTAAAGTAGAAGAACAAGGTGAGAAATGTGTTGAGACTATTTTTGGGCAAGTAAAGAATAATATTGTGTTGCCTGATATTTTGTAGGCACCTCTAAAAATATGCCAGTATTCTCTCCAGTTTAATAATGGAGTAATTACACTGCTTATACTTGAAAAGAGATGCAGATTTTGAAGTCTGCCTGAAAAATCCTAACCTCATGTCTACTTTAATGTTCTTTGTAGGAGTTCAGTAAGTGATGAAAATGAGAGTTCTTCCTTCTGACCAGGCCATTGCTTTTTGGCATATACATAGCCATTTTCTCCTTTCATTTTTAATCTGTCCATATAAAAATATGGAAATATTGTGTTAGGTACACAGACCTTTATAAAATCCAGAACTTTAATTCTGATTGTATCACATGATAGGTAGAAAATTATAGGTTCAACTTATTTTAATTATATCTTTTTGAGTATGATATTGTCAGATGAAAGGCACTTTGTAAATTCAGGAGATTATCAGTGGTAAAAGTAACAATTATATATTTCCTTAAAATGATCTTATCAGGAAGTTTCCCTTGATAATTAAAATCAGTCTTCTTTTATTAATTTTATATCTTTTTGTCTAGTTAATATCCCCTTCCCAAATAGTCCTCCTACCTTTTGACGATCAAAGCCTTCTATTGACATGGTCATAATCTTCCCCATTTCCCCTCTTCAGATCATTCCTTAATGATACTCTTTTTGTTTTTATGAGTTCAGGCTTTCTTTCTCAACATCTGTATTCTCTTTACTTCATTTGTCATTTTTGTTGTTCTTCCCTAGTCTCTCTTGTTTTGGCTACTTGAATTGATATCCGAAATTGGATTTAAAGAGATTATTTCATCAGACTCAGTTTTCCACCTTTCCCCTGTCCTTTTACTAAAGCATCAGCTGCTTTTGCACTGCCAGGTCAGTTTTTTCTTCTTCAGTTGCACATTAGCCAAAGAGCTGGTCAGTTTACTTCCCAGTTCTTATGTATCCATGCCAACTCTTCCTTGATTAATTGATTCTTCAGCATTCTTCAGTGCATCTTTTGTCCTTTAAAACTACCATAGCACTTTTCCAGACATTTAATTCCTGTGGAACCTCATACTTTTAGGAGATGTGGATGTCTACTGCTAGATATTATTTCCCTGCTATTAATTTATTTTCTAAGCACTTAAAACACCTTTAGTTTCTCTTTTAGTGATATGGGGCATAGTGTGATATAATTATAGGTGTATTTAAGAATTCTTAATATTTTAAACCAAGTGTTTTAAATCTTTACATTTAAGTTATAGAAGTAAAGTGTATTTAAATGTATATTTTATTAGTTTATAACCACTTTTACACACAGTTACAATTCTGATATTTCTAATTATAAAATGCTAAATAGTGATTTTTTTGGTGCATCTGGCATTGGTGACCTTCTCTTCTTTGATGTTACAAATGCTATTGATATCACATTGATGCCTGTTTATTTTTCTGGCTCCTCAAGTGGCTCAGCCCAGAGAGCAGAGGCGAGTTTGGTTTGCTGATGGGATCTTGCCCAATGGAGAAGTTGCTGATGCAGCCAAATTAACAATGAATGGAACTTCCTCTGCAGGAACCCTGGCTGTGTCACATGACCCAGTCAAGCCAGTAACTACCAGTCCTTTACCAGCAGAGGTAAGAAAATAAAATGGCAACTAAAAATGAGTACTTACTTACTCAGCATGTGCTGCTTCCGTCTTGTTATTTTTTAAAAGATTTTATTTATTTATTTTTAGAGAGAGGAAAAGAGGGAGAAAGAAAGGGAGAGAAACATCAATGTGTAGTTGCCTCTTGCATGCCCCCTACTGGGGACCTGGCCCACAATGCAGGCGTGTGCCCAGACTGGGAATCAAAGCAGCAACCCTTTGGTTTGCAGGCTGGTACTCAGTCCACTGAGCCATGCCAGCCAGGGCCTGTCTTGCCTTTTTCTAACTTGAGTGTCCTTTTTGTTGAACCCTATAGATTTGGATATAATTTAGTGCTTGTGTATGTATGCTTGTGCACCCATGTGTGTATGTATAGGGCTAAAATATTTGTGGCAAGACTGGTATCCTTCTTTGTTCTGTATTTGGAAGTTTTTCAGGAGAAAGATTCTTATGAAGGTTACGTAAGGTGAGCTTAGACTGCCACTGTAGCTAGGGGTTGTGCCAGAGGGAACCCTGGCCCCTTGATACACTGGTTTTCAAACGATGTTTGCCAGGTTTCATGGCAGCCCCTTGGGAGTGCCATGGTGAGGAAGGGCCAAGCAATGTGAAGGTGGCTGAGGAATCCCTCTACTCCTTTCTCTTCAATCCAGCCATCTTCACTTTTTTCTTTTATACCAGTTGTGTTTTCAATGGAAGATTTTTAAAAGGATCTCAAAGCTTAAAAATCAGTTGAAAAATCACTGACTTAATGGATATAAGACTCATTATTTACCTAAGGAAACTAGCTCATACTGTGTTGTCACCTCTGTGATGTCTCTGTAGCATATACTGGTCAAATTTTGGGGGCTAATGGGATTTTCTTTCCTTGGAACCTAATTTTCTAAAGGGGACAAATAGCTACTTTTTTTTGGAGTCAGTGAGAAAACAGAGTCTCCTAGGGCCAAAATGAGAAATTATACACATAGGATTCTTTGATACAGTAGGACCTTTTCTATTGCTGATTGTCTCCTAGAATTTGGTGGTCAAAGCCATTAATTCCACCTAAGTATGTGTCCATCTTTTTTAAAGAAATAGAACAGCCCTGGCTGGCATAGCTCAGTGGATTGAGCGCGGGCTGGGAACCAAAGTGTCCCAGGTTCGATTCCCAGCCAGGGTACATGCATGGGTTGCAGGCCATAACCCCCAGCAACCGCACATTGACGTTTCTCTCTCTCTCTATCTCCCTCCCTTCCCTCTCTAAAAATAAATAAATAAAATCTTTAAAAAAAAAAAGAAAGAAATAGAACAAAAGGATCAAAGTTTGGATAAAGTTTTTACTCTTGAAGTTTTCATAGAATTCTTAGTTACTAATTACATTTATGTTCAGTAATTATCTTTCAAGAATTTTCTTTCAGGAATTTACATAACTTGTGAATTTTATTGTAACTGAAATTGCATGTTATCAGGATTAGATTTATTGACATACAGAGCTACATTTCTGTTTGGTGAATGAACATTAAACCACGTGCTGTCTATCTTCAAATATAAGTCTTTGTTGGGGAGGATGCAGTTTCTAAGGTTGCAGAGAGTGACAGCCAGGACTATGTCCTTCTTCTTTGTATCTTGCATGCAACTTGTCAAGAAGGTTCCTTCTTTTTCCTTCAGTTGTTTATTTGGAAAAATTTTAAACTCACAGAGAAGTTACAAGAATAGTACAGTGAACATCCGTATACTCTTTACTTACATTTACCAACTGTTCCCATTGTGCCACATTTACATTAACCCTTACACGCACACTCATTTTTTTAAAGATTTTATTTATTCATTTTTAGAGAGAGGGTGATGCATGGGTCACCGGCCAGCAGTGATCACAAAACGCTGCGGATGGCTCGTCAAAACGCAAGGAAAACATACACAGAGACAACCAGGCCCTGTGGGGGAATAGGAACAGCAGGGCCACTCCTCACATGGGGAGCACCTTGGCCACCCTCCCTGGTGGGAAGAGTGTGCTGTTCCTCCTCCGGAGAGGCTTTTTATTGGTTTTGTTTGCATAAGAATTCAGGTAAAAGCTCATTACTCATTGCTAAGAAGTAAGGATCAAACAGTAGATAACAAGGAAATCTGAGGGCTTATTTTGAGTCAGGATCAAAGAGCTGTAAAACTTTGCGGAACAAACTAACTTCCTCCTTGGACCCTTCTCATTCAACTGAGAGCATTCTAAACAAAGAAGGTTTCACAGGAATTTACATGTTCTTTCTTAGGCCTGATCACCCGGGGAATCCACCCTTTTCAGCACAGAGCTGCACCACCCTGTCATTGTTTCAGGCTTAGGTGGAGCAAGGGAACTAAGGCAACCAAGAGATAAGGAGATTTTCTCCCAGACGATAAGGACTCAGGCTACGTCAAAGCCGAGGAGCGAGGGTCCATCACCCCCTTTTGGTGTAGCCCCCAAAGTCCTTTCTTGGGGGCCTCCCATGTGATCGTGCCTGTCTTAGGTCGTTCCCCCCTTAGGGAATCTTACCCATCATTGGCTAACCGACCAAGCTTTGGGGTCCAGTTATGAATGAAGCAGCAGAAGCAGTGCTCCTGCCAGGGAGATAAGCTTTTGTCTCCTGGCTGGCTTACGGTTCCAAGGACGTTCCCTCAGCCTTAGCCTAGGCAGGGGTTACAGCTTCTGATACCAGGCAGGGCGGTTCCCAACAAGAGGGGAAGGGAGGGAGAAAGAGAGGTAGAGAAATATCAATGTGTATTTGCTTCTCGTGTGCCCCATACTAGGGGCCTGGTCTGCAACTCATGCATGTGCCCTAGACTGGGAATTGAACTAGTGACCCTTTGGTTCCCAGGCTGGCACTCAATCCACTGAGCCACACGAGCCAGGGCACACGCTCATTTTTTTTGATGAACCCTTTGAGGATTAGTTGTACTTCACTGCTTAATACTTCAGTTTATGTCTCCTAAAACAAAGATATTTTCTTACATAAGCACAATAGAATTATATGAGAAAAAATTAACATATAATTCTGTTATCTAATATATAGTCCATATGTAGATTTGCTCAGTTGTCCCAATAATGTTCTTTATAAATGTCATTTATACACATGTGCACATACATAAAAAATTTTTAAAGATTTTATTTATTTGTAGAGAGAGGGGAAGGGAAAGAAAAAGAGGGAGAGAAACGCTGTGTGGAAGACATCAATCAGGGCCTCTCACATGCTCCCCACTGGAGACCTGGCCCACACCCCAGGCGTGTGCCCTGACTGGGAATCAAACCAGTAACCTTTCAGTGGTAGGCCAGCACTCAGTCCACTGAGCCACACCAGCAAGGGCTATACAAATTTTTTTTAATAAAAAAAATATATTTAAAAAAATTAGGATCCTGTGTTTGTTTGGTTCTCTTTACTCCACAACAATTATGCCACTTTTAAAATATTGTCTGTCATATTGTTACAGAACAGATAAGGGGGCCTGGGACGATATACTATTATTTAAAAGGCCCCCAGGTCCGTCATGTCCGCCGCCCGAGGAAAGACGTCTCTCAATGCCAGAGATTTGTGAAAAGGAAAGGAAATGTTTATTTAATGCTATACTAACTTAAAGTAGTGACTTAATGTCTTTATCAAAAATCCTAAAGTCCCTAAAAACACCCACAAACACACACAGTCCTTCCTTCCTTCCCCCTTTGCCCAGTCCAGAGTACCGTATCTCAGGAAAGGAAATAGAAGTCCATGGCTCAGGCAGTCCTCTGGTTCTTAGTTAGTCCTCCATCTCGACTGGGAGACCTCCCTGGGTTCCTGGCACCCTCCGCTGAGTCGCCGGGATCTCTGCTAAAACTAGGTGGTGGTTCCCCTTCTAAAGCTGTGCGGGTCCCCGCTCTGTCCAGGCCTCGTGGTTCTCCCTCTCAGGGCTGCGGGAGTCTTCACTCTGTCAAGGCCGTGTGGTTCTCTCTCCTAAAGCAGCATGGTTCTCCTCTCAGGGCTGAGGTCCTCCCTCTTCTGCTAAAGCCGCATGGTTCTCTCTCCTCTCGGGGCTGCGCATGGCTCTCCTTCCTAAAGCAGCATGGTTCTCTCTTCTAAAGCAGCATGGTTCTCTCTCCTAAAGCAGCATGGTTCTCCTTCTCAGGGCTGCACATGGTTCTCCCTCCTAAAGCAGCATGGTTCTCCCTATTCTGCTAAAGCCGCATGGTTCTCTCTCTCTGGGATGCGGGAGTCTTCACTCTGCTAAAGCTGTGTGGCTCTCTCTACAATGGCTGTGATCCTCTCTGCACCTCCACAGCCACATGGTTCTCTCCCTCAATGGCCGCCAAGTCTGGGTTTAAATCCCCGGGCCAATCTTCCTCTGCAGCCTCATTTCCGACTCCTCCCACACTCGGCTTCACTTGCCAGAATTCATATCCTTCCAGCTTTACTGGGCTACCATCATGAGTCTGGGCAGGTGTGGCCCATGTCCTGGAGCCAATCTCCGAGCTCCCACGCAGGCGCTGTAGCTTGGGGGATCTGCCCCCAGTCACGTCTTGGTGGGGAAGTTACTTCCATTCCCCTGCTCAGAGATGATCACAGCTATTTAACATATCCATGCAACCAGCCAAAGCCTATAGATATGTTAAATGACCACCCCAGAGTTTAGCTGCAAGGCTGTTGCTATGCAAAACAGCTCTCAATGGCCCTGCTCCATTTGTCCCTTCCCCCAACCCACACCCTGGGCGGGGAGGTGGAGACATCTTAAAATCTCCTGGACACCTTAAGTTCTGGACCCCATTTCAAATGCCCATTTGGGGTCCCCCCTCTTGGCTGCACCCTGTAACAATATTACTGTGTTTAAGTAGACCAATGCAGTGAAAACCTGTGCTGTTTAAGGGTCAAGTGTATTTCAGTCCATGGTTGGGAATCTGAGTGTATGGAGGTCTGACTAAAAGTTAAATGCGAATTTTTGGCGACACAGGTTGCGATGCCGCTAACCTCTGCATTGCTCAAGGGTCAACTGTGTTAATTTTGGACTATCTAGGCCATATTTTGCATAAAGTCCTTAATTTGTGTTGGTCTGATTTTTTTCTCGTGATTAATTTTAGATTAGATATTTTTTGTCAAGAATAATATTACTACATAAGTGATCATTTTCTTAGTGGAACACATCAAGAAGTATCAGTTTGAAAACAAACAATATAGAGGCAGAATCATAGATAGCGAGCAGGCTGACAGCTCTGGGGAGTTTGGGGGATAGAGGAATCAAGCAAAGAGGAAAAAAAAGAAAATGAACTCATGGACCACGGGGTGATGCTTGTAGGTGGGGAGGGGGGTGGGTGGAGTGGGGAGAGGGTATGGGGGGATAAGTAGTATTAGAAAAAGTACATATAATTAAAAAATAATGTAAAAAAGTATCAGTTTGATAATTGATTAAATTGATGTCTCTGTGTTTTCTCCACTGCAAATTGGCTATTCTTCTTTGCAGTGAATAAGGAACACGAGGGGGTGATTCTCTGAGACTGTGACTGTTCTGTCACCCCAGCAATCTTTCCACAAATGACTTTGCTGTCCTTTGACAATTCTTGCCTGAATCAGTTATAACTATGATGTTTATGTAGTGATGACTTTTTTCCTATGAATTTTTTTTTACCTCTTTTAAATTGTATGATAGACTCTGAAAACATAGCTTTTGTTTTTTTGTTTCTTGTGATTTTTTGTGGAGTCTTTATTATTTTCTCTATATAGAATCACTTCATCTGTAAATTGTGAAAGTTTTACTTCTTCCTAATTTGGGTGCCTCTTATTGTTTTTTCTTATCTGATTCTTGTTGCGAACATAAAATTTTTTTTGGAATGAATGAGGAAGCTCTAGTGAATGAATATTATAGGGAAACAAGGTTTAGCTCAGATTTAAGAGAAACTAAACCAAGTTATTTTATTTCTGTGTTTTCATATTGTTCAGCACTCAATTTTAATATTTACCTGGTGAATGAGGGAAAACAAGTCCTTTAGGTACAGACTAGAATACAGTTTTCTCATCTTTACTAAATGTAAATTTAGTAAAGTGCTGGGTAGTTTAGTAGAGTACCTGGTAGTTAATAGGTTCTCAGTAAATGAAACAAATTTCTTTTCCAGATGGTATGTAAGTAGAGGTCAGTTGGTCACTTCTTATATTAAAAGATGGATTTATCATCAAATAGCAAGTTAGAATAGGTTACCTTATTTCCTGTACTATGCCTTGAAATCATTTAATAATGGTATACCAATAAAAATTTACAATTTTTTTCTCCTATGATGGTATACTAAGAACATTGCAAAATTTTAGCAAAAACTCACTAAATTATAGTATAGATAAAAGTTGGCAAGATATTGACACTTTAAAAAGTAGTTTTAATATTTATTTAAATATAAATGTACATTTACAAAATGTAAATTTAGTAAAGTGCTTTATGAGAATCTTTGGGAAACAACTCTATGAATATATTCACACACACACAAACCCTGTGTAGCCCACTCAGGTGAACATATGGACCATTTTTATCACTCTAGAAGGTTTCCTCATACTCTTTTTCTGTCAGTACCCCATTCTATTAAATTTCTTTTACATCTTTTCCCCTTGATAACCATTATTCTGACTTAGATAACCATGGATTCATTTGACCTGTTCTTGAATTTCATATAAAAGGAAACATACAGTATATAATATATTGTGTGTAGCTTATTAAACTCAAACTAACATTTATGAAATTTATCCATACTGTGTGCATCTTAAGTCAATATTTTATTGTTGAGTAGTACTTTATCATATGGGTATATCACGATTTTTCTGTTTTATTATTAACAGACATTTGGATTATGTTCAGTCTTTGGCTATTATGAATTGAATAAAAGCCGCTATAAACATTCTTATACATGTTTAACAAAGTTCTAAAATGCTTCTTTAAAGTCTTTTTTAAAGCTTCATTTTCCTCTCTTAAGTGGTAGAGAATATAGAGAGGAGAGCATCATTGTAATAGATCTTAGAGTGTAGTCTATTAAGTCATTAAATAAGTGGATTTAACCCCACACAAAATATGTTTTGCAACATTATACTTTATTCAGTGTATCTGACATGATCATATTAATGCAAAGAAAAATGAACTTGGAGTTTTATTTCATTGCATAGTAAATGAAAAAGGATGACCTATTTTATTTTATTTTATTATTATTTTATTTTTACTTTATTTTTTTTATAGATTTTGTTTATTTATTTTTAGAGAGAGGGGAAGGGAGGGAGAAAGAGAAGGAAAGAAATATCAGCCCTGGCTGGTGTAGCTCAGTGGATTGGGCATGAGCTGCGGACCAAAGGGTTGTGGGTTCAGTTCCCAGTCAGAGCACATGCCTGGATTGCAGGCCAGGTCCCCAGTGGGGGCTACACGAGAAGCAACCACACACTGATACTTCTCTCCCTCTCTTTCTCCCTCCCTTCTCTTCTCTCTAAAAATAAGTAAAAATAAAAAATCTTAAAAAAATAAAAAAGAAACATCAATATGTGGTTGCCTCTTGCACATCCCCTACTGGAGTCCTGGCCTGCAACCCAGGCATGTGCCCTGACTGGGAATCAAACTGGCAATGCTTTGGTTCTCGGTCCGGTACTCAGTCCACTGAGCCACACCAACCAGGACAGAATGACCTATTTTAATCTCTTTACTTTATCAAAGGTAATTTTTTTCTTTTTTTGTTGTGTTAACATATATGGAACATAAAATTTAACACCTTAATGATTTTTAAGCGCACAATCTGTGGGTGGGATTAAGTTATTCTTATATTGTTGTAAAACTATCACCACTATTCTCAAAGCTGATTTGAAAAAGCAGTATAAATGAGTCTTTAAATACACCCAAATACATTAAATGTTCAGAAATTATGAGACAATATTGAAATTTTGTTTTTGTTCTTACTATAACCTTTAAATATATATTTCTTGTATAGCAAAAGAAACTTGGGTAAACGAAGCTTTACTTCTTCAAGGCTATAGTGCCTCTTCTCTCATTACTTTGATTTGGTGATGCCAAAGGGAGAAACTACAATTGGAAACATTTTCATAGTATATAAAACCAGTCCTTTAGGAAACCACAGGTTAATGAGTATAAAAACGTATGACTTCTAAATTTTCACTTAAATTCCCATTTATATTCTTGACTATATTCTGCCAAAGTCCTGAACCTCCCTGTAATTCTCACTTTGCTCATTTGCTTTTCCTAGACGGATATTTCTCTGTTTTCTGGGAGCATAACTCAGGTTGGAAGTCCTGTTGGGAGTGCAATGAACCTTATTCCCGAAGATGGCCTTCCTCCCATTCTCATCTCCACTGGTGTAAAAGGAGGTTTGTGGACTTACATGTTTAAACAAGATAGTTATATATACCAAATATTGCCTTCTAATTAAGGGAAGAAGATAGAATTTGAATGATAATAACTACCCTTCTCTAACAAAAAAACAGCTACTCAGTATCATGAAAATAATTATTGCTGTTACTGGTTTTAGAGTAGATACTTGTGTTTTTATATATAATGCTATTTCATTCATTGGAGTGATATAATACTTTATTAAGTATATTTTATTGCTTATGCTATTACAGTTGTCCCATTTCTTTCTCCCCATTGTTCCCCTCCACCCTACATCCCCCTCCCTCCAGAATTACCCCCTTTAGTTCATGTCCATTGGTCATACATATAATTTCTTTGGCTTATCCATTTCCTATACTATTTTTCTCCTCCCCTCCACGCTGATAACCCTCCATCTGATTTCCATTTCTGTGATTCTGTTCCTGTTCTAGTTGTTTGCTTAGTTCATTTTTGGCTTTTTAGGTTCAGTTGTTGATAGTTGTGACTTTGTTGTCATTTTTTTGTTCATAGTTTTGATCTTTTTCTTATATAAGTCCCTTTAACATTGCGTGTAATAAGGGCTTGGTGGTGATGAACTACTTTATCTTCACCTTGTCTGGGAAGCCCTTTATCTGCCCTTCCATTCTAAATGATAGCTTTGCTAGGTAGAGTCATCTAGGTTGTAGGTCCCTGCTTTTCATCATTTTGAATATTCTTGCCAGTCCCTTCTTGCCTGAAAAGTTTCTGTTGAGAAATCAGCTGACAGTCTTATAGGGACTCATTTGTAGGTAACTGTCTCCTTTTTTTGCTGCTTTTAAGATTCTCCCCTTATCTTTAATCTTGGGTAACTTAATTATGATGTGTCTAGGTGTGTGCTTTCTTAGGCCCAACTTCTTTGGAACTGTCTGAACTTCCTAGACCTGCATTTCTATTTCCTTTGCCAGAATAGGGAAGTTGTCCTTCATTAGTTTTTCAAATAAGTTTTCAATTTCTTGCTCTTCCTCTTCTACTTCTGGCACCCTTATGATTCAGATGTTGGAATGTTTAAAGTTGTCCCAGAGGTTCCTAAGCCTTCTCATTTTTTTTTTAATTCTTATTCCTTCATTCTATTCTGATTGAGTTTTTATTTCTCCCTTTTGTTCCAAATCACTGATTTAAGTCCCAGTTTCCTTTCCTTCACTGTTGGTTCCCTGTAGATTTTTCTTTATTTCACTTTGTATATCCTTTACTTCTCCCTTTATTTTACATCCTTGCTCAATTGTTTCTGTGAGCTCCCTGATTACCAGTATTTTAAACTGTACATCAGATAGGTTGGCTATCTTCTTGTTCCTAAGTTCTTTTTCTGGAGTTTTAATCTGTTCTTTCATTTGAGCCATATTTCTTTGTCTCAGTGCACCAGTCTGGATGAATGTTTCTTTTTTAACTCCTTGGTTGTCGGACTTCCTTAAGTTTGATTTTCTGGCATTTCTGGTTTTGTTGTTGCTGTTGTTGTTGTTGTTGTTGTTTTTAAATTGGTTATTGTCCTTCTTTTGGTTATGCAAGGAAGCAAAGCATATCTACCTATGCTTCCATTTTAGCAGAAGTCCTGGAAGTATATAATATTTTTAATTGTAGTACAAATGTAGTTCATTGGAAGTTTTTAAAAATATTTGAAAGGGCATAATACTCTGAAGAGTTTCTTGTGATTTTAGGACTGGCCCATCTGATATAGTCAATACATTAATTTAACTTTTTGTTTTGGAGTGTAACATTCATTTAGAAATATACATAAAATAAGTGGGTGGTACTGAACTCAAATAGCCATTTTACTGGTAAAAAAAATATTTCCAGTGAGTCTTGACAAGAAGTAAAATTATTATCCAATTTAAAGAATGCTTATAATTTTTGATAGTGTCTTATTGACATATCTAGATAAGTATCCAACTGATACATTTTCTGAAGTTTTATTTATAATCTTGGTTAGTTATTTCCTAGACTTTTACCTGGCGTTCTTGCCTTCAGTCTTTCTCTCCTTTATTTTATCTTCCACATAATTGCCAGTTATCTTTTTAAACATATATAATCATATATTACTTTTGCTTAGAAACAGTCAATGGATTTTCAATACCTTCAGTATAAATTACTTACCTTACCATAAAATGTCCCTTACAACTTTACCTCAACTTATCTAACTTTACTCCAGCCAGTACCTCAGTTTACCAACTTTTTTTTTAATATTCACCTCGTTAAAATATTTTTTAAACTTTATTTATTGATTTGAAAGAGGGATGAAGGAAGGGGGGGAGGTAAGGAAAGGAGGGAGGAAAGGAGGAAAAGATAGAGAGAGACATCAATTTGTTGTTCCACTTATTTATTCATTGATTAGTTGATTTTTTATATGTGCCCTGACTGGAGATCAAACCCACAACTTTGGCCTGTAGAGACGACACTTTTACTATCTGAGCTACCCAGCAGGGCTGAATATTCACATTTGATACTTTCATGCCTTTTCTTGTGCTATGGGAGAGTGGGAAGAGAATGAACTTCAGATCTAGACAGACCTGAGCTTTAATCTCAGTACTATTCCATTGTAGCTCTGTGGTCCAGTGGGCAAATCATTTATCCTCTCTGAATCTTTTTCCTAGTCTTTTAAAAACTTGGGTAACTACATCTACTTAATTTAAGAGTCATAAATATTAAATCAGATTTTATATCTGGAAGGTCTTAGCAAGAAAAATGCCTGATACAAGTAGGCATGTAATTAATATTTTCCTTTCCTTGACTAGAATTCTGTTTTATACCTTAGACTCCTTGAAGAATTCCTCAACCTTTTAAAATCCAGATTAGTGGAAAACTCTTCTCTGAATCCTTACATAGGTTGCCTCCATCGTAATGTTTTACATCCTCATCTCTGTTCTAATAAAAATTCATATGGACTGTTACTACATTAACACTCATTGTAATTTAGATATTGTATAAGTCTGATTCTTTCACTTAGACCCTGAATTCCTTCGGTCTGAATTTACATAATGTGTCTTCTGCAGCCAGTTGGTGCTGCGCCTACATTCAGCTCTCAGCAGTGTTAGCTGAGTGTGTTGTACTGTCAGTTTTATGGTTGACTTTCACGTGAAGTTAAACATTCTTTTGCTTGTGTGATGCATTTGCTTTTTTAGCAGACAGGAACCCCTATAGATATTCTTTCGTTAGTAAAATTACTAAAGTTTCAAATTTTAGTTATTTTAATAAATCTTAGATTAATAAGAAATTATGTTGGCCTACTCTGTTGTTAAATAAGATTTCATTTTCATTAAAAGTCACATCTGTTACCTCGAATTGTCAAAACCTCTCCTACCAAGAATCAGTAACTAGTTATCTAATATATACTTACTTAAACTCCATTACTGTATCTTTACCACAATTTTGCATTCTAGTGAAATAGCTTCATAAAAATTTTTAAGTCACTTAGTGTTTTTCTTTCTAATATTTTCATTCATAAGATAAACCCTTCCCATACAGCCAAAAAACAGTTTTCTGGTTTCTTTTTGTCAGTAGGAAATGGTGTTAATTTGTTCTACCTGGCCATCTCTTAATGGTGCATTTTATATAAAACCAATCAAACAATATGCAACTTTCAGGTTTTCAATTCCTTTCCCATACTTTGTTTTCTACAATGGTCATTACCTATGATTTTGACTTCAAGATGAGAGGACTGTCATAATTCAAAATGGGGTGGCTGAATATAACATTGTGCTGTGCTTGTAGGGATTTAAATGAGAAGGGTCCTGTTGAAAGCCTCAGGTGTTAACTTGTTCATGTTAAGTGTCTGATGTGTGATTTACTGGTGATTTTGGCGATGTATGTTCTGAACTCTTAACTTTCCATAGAGGAATTCTTTCATGAAACTTAAGATACTTTTAGTTTATTTTGGGGGGGTATATGGAGGGGCTCTGCCCACAGTGCCCCCCCCCCCAGCTGCTATGGATGAGAATAAGTCTACCAAGACATGATCTTCTTAGGGAGGAAAGGTGGCAGATCTCTCAAAGGGGAAGGGCCAAGAGTCTTTTCCTCAGTGGGCTTTTATTGGGTTCATTTTGCACAGGAATACAGGTAAAGCTCATTAATCATTGTCAGGCAGTAAGGATCAAACAATAGATAGCATACAAAGAATTACAGGGCTTATTCTGAGTCAGGGTCTGTTAGGTAAAGGACTACAAAGCTTTGAGAAACAAACTCATTTCCTGCTTGGACCCTTATGATTTAATTGAGAGCATTCTTAGCAAAGCAGGTTTCACAGGATTTTATGCATTCTTTCTGAGGCCTGATTGCCCCCAGGGAACTGCCCATTCCTGCGCAGGGCTGCACTGCCCTCTGTCATTGTTTCAGGCTCAAGTCAGTCATGGGAAGTAAGGCAGCCAAAAGATTAGGAGACGTTTCAAAGACAGAATGAGGACTCAGGCTATGTTAAAGCTGAGGGTCCAGGGTCCATCATCCCTTTTTGCTATAGGCCCCCAAGTCCTTCCCAGGGGCCTCCCCGTGATCGTGCCTGTCTTAGGTCATTCCTCCCTTGAGGAATCTTACCCATCATTGGCTAACCCATCATGCGCTGGGGGCCAGGCAGGGTGAAGTAAAAGAGGCAGAGGCGGCTCCCTTGCCAGGTAGATAAACTTTGTCTCCTTAGTGGCTTATGGTCTGAAGGTCACTCATTCAGCCTTAGCCATGGGGGTGTTACAACTTCTGAAACCAGGCAAGGCGGTTCCCAACAGGTGTATTTTCTACAGTTTAATTTTTTATGGAAAAAAGTCTAAAACTATACAAATGGATGTAGAGTAAAAAGTAGGATTCCCCTCTAACTCAACCCCTAGACATCCTTTCCAGAAGTAACTAGCTTATTATCACTTCCTTATACATCATGGATTATTTTAAATGTTGGTCTTAGAACATGTAGTATGTGAAATTCTTGTTACAGTTGTTGGAGATATTTTGATAAATAGAAGGGTTGTCTTTAGATTTGTCACAAGTCATTTTGTGGAGAAGTCTCTACATAGGATGACTATGTTGTCATCCAAACTGGGAGTGAAAGGGAACACTATAATACACCCAATGCTGAGACAGCAGGTACAAACCTGTGTTCACCGTATCTATATATCAGATGCTCATTTCTTTTATGTGAATAATCAACCTGTTCACCCATTGGATTTCCCTCTGTGTCTAACCCACTAGCCAGTCTCTCACATTGTTTTCTCCCCTTACAGACTATGCTGTGGAAGAGAAGCCATCACAGATTTCAGTGATGCAGCAGTTGGAGGATGGTGGCCCCGACCCACTTGTATTTGTTTTAAATGCAAATTTATTGTCAATGGTTAAAATTGTAAATTGTAAGTTAAAATTTTGTTTTTAAAATAAAAATGAGATACCTTACTGACTCACAGATAATAAACAAAGCTTTCATATTTATTACACACAAGAATTTTTATATAGAGCCACATCTTACTGAAAATTTGGTACTGAAGAAGTTCGTTTGTATATAATTACATATTCCAGAGGACAGTTGTGGTACCTACAGAAGCTCTTGCTTTTAGTCATAGGTATGGGATAGGTAAATTCTCTGTGGAGGACAGCTAAAGAAAACGTGAATTGATCTAAGTTCTGCCTGAGATGGGAATGTTATGTCACAGCTTAACCACCAGTATAACCAACCAATGATGGATAAATTATCCAGGAGGGTCAAACAATTTACATGCTAGATTTCAATCTTAGAAATCTTAACCATGGTGCAAAACCTTACTTGGGAGAAATATTAGTTAGCTAACATGTAGTAAAACTTCAGTACATCTTAAGATTCAGAAGAAACTTATCAATTCATGGTGCCTTCTTGTGCATCAGAATGAGAGAGAAGAGAGTAACTTAAAATCTTGATTCTAAGGTGGTATTAGAAAATACAGAACACATTTATCCTGGATGAATTTTAATTAATAGGCACAGTTTCGGAGAGAGGATGGAAGCACTGGGGAGCAGTCCTCTAGTTCCCCCTGTGCACTTGCTTTAAGTTGACCTTGGAAACCAGAAACACCTGTTTTTTTAAAGGTTCTACATTGATGAAATGCATATTTCTAGTTTACTTGCTAATCATACCCTTGTATGTTTGGCCCGTTATTAATGCTTGCCATCTTTCCTTTTAGGGTCAGATTTTAAAATAATTTACTCAATTTTAATTTATCATATCTAGTTTATAAGCTATACTTAGAAAATAGCTAGCCTAGAATTCCTGAAATGCATACCATCTTAATAATAGTTGGATTGGACATCTCCTATTTAGATATATAAGTAACTATTGCCAAAGTGAAAGAAGGGACCTTTTATTAGTTTTGACTTACATTGTGGTATTCATAATTTATCTGAACCCTTTTTCAATTTGGGGGGGATCACATTGTGTTGTAGTACAAATGATAAAAGTATCAAGGATTGAACATTATTTTTAACATCCTTTTACATATGGCTTGTGCTATTAGGACTCTATAGAGCCTTTTGGTGAAGAAGTGGAAGTAAGTAGTTCAGAAAAACCATCCTTTTCACCACTTTTTATAGCACAAAGCTAAGTCAAGTCATGTTAATTACCTTGAATTTTCTCCTAGAAAGGGCTATAACTAAAATTGCTAGAATCTTTCAGTCACAGATTAATGTGTACGTAAAAATGTTTTTTACATCACAACCTGAATTCAAAGCTATAATACTGGCTTTTGTTGTTGTTTCTAGTCTTACATAAGTAATTATTTCCTTTGTTTAAGTGTTTTTTTTTAAATAAAGATGAGGAAATGCATTTTTTAATCATTATAGCTAAGGGTACATAATTTGGTTTTATTTATTTTATCTTTAAAGGAATGTTGTTTCTTTTGATAATTACATCTGTAATAATAGAATTTAAAAGTTTTCAGTGTATTTCTTTCAGTATTACTTCTTTTACTTCCCTTCCAATTTTTTTCTAAGGGTTTGCCTAGAGCCCTTAATACACCAGAGGTAGTGGTATATTTTATTTTTCTACAATAGTTCTTCCACTCAATGAAGTGTGTTTCACAGGTTGAATTATACAGGCTCAGAATGATCTATTTTATTCTTTACTGTATTATAACATAGATTTCTGTGCATTTTATAAGGGTAAGAATTGAGAGGAATGTCTTCATGTTTTATTTTTATTCCATTTGTAGATGTGAACAGGAAGTGCTGGTGTTTCACGACCAAGGGAATGCATGCGGTGGGTCAGTCTGAGATAGTCATTCTTCTCCAGTGTCTGCCGGATGAGAAGTGTTTGCCCAAGGATATCTTTAGTCATTTTGTGCAGCTTTATCGGGATGCCCTGGCAGGTGGGAATGCATTATGATTGAGTGTGCACCCTTTATAGATGACAAAAACTTCTTTTTTGTTCTGTTCTGTTTTTTATTTTATTTTTTTTATTAGGTTTAAAAGATGACAGAAACTTTCAGACACAGATGCCAAATAATAGCCTTAAATTTGGATGCCTGGCATTGGAGGTTGATATTGGTGATAAGTTAGAACTTGCCATGGTTTGAGGAAATGATAAGTTTTAGTACTTTACCTGGTGTGTTTGTTGTTTTACAGAGGCTAGAATCAAATTGGTAAGAGAATCCATTGAACTGATACAAGAATATTTTTCTTTGAGTAGCTGAGGATTCATGATATTGGTACCCATTTGAGGGAAGCATAACCATAACTTACTACTTGTTCTTTAGTTAACAATATTTACATAACCAGGTTACTTTACATTTAGTTTTCAAGCTTCAAGAACCACTATCATGGACAACTTTATTATGGTTTCAAAATAAATAAATAGCAGATTTTTTTACTACAACAATGTAAAAGTAAATGCATAGCTATTAGAAGTTAGAGAACACTAAGGATACTAGTATACAGACATACTATTAAAACTGAGAAAGAAATTGCAGAACTGTATAGTAGCTCTATTTTTAATTTTTGAGGAATCTTCATACTGGCTCTCATCCACAGTGGCTGCACCAATTTACACTCCCACCAACAGTGCACGAGGGTTCCCTTTTCTCCACATTCTTACCAACACTCATTATCTTACAAATGATATTTTTAAAAGTCATTGTAGGAATCTAGCAAGAAATTATCAGTTTTTAAGGTAAGTAATGGCAGTGGGAATAAAGAGTGTCAAAGAGACACGAAAGACAGCAATGCTTCATTTCAAAGGATTTGATGCTGAGTGCCTGTGAGGACAAAAGGGAACAAGTCAAAGTTGGCTTCAGATTTCTGGCTCAGGCACCTGGGTGGATGCCGTTCTTTTTCACTGAGATAGTAAATAGGAGAGCAGAGCTGGCAGCTGAGGTCCTTCTTCAGTGTGTTGAATTTGAAATAATGACAACAGATGGTAATATGTAAATGGAAGGTGAATATATGGATATGGACCTCAGGAGGTAGATCTGGGCTAAAATATAAACACAGCATTTATATGATATTTGAAGCTATGGTTATGAATAAGATAGGCCAGTGTGAAGAGACTAGAGCTGTGAATGGAACTCTAAGAAATACCAACAAGGGAAGGCATGAATTATTATATGAGTCATTATATGTTTAGTATAAATGGTTATTCATTTTTAAGAAATATCCTTATATATCAGTAGAGTCCATTATATTAAAATACAATAATTTACAAAAAATCATGTGGGACTGATAGTAAGATAATGGTAATAGTCTAAGGTTGGCCTGTAATACATCTAAGCCTTCGTAAATATTTTCTGTAATACAGGATGAGGGCAGGTACATATATAGCTAAGTAAATAACATTTCAAAAGTATAAAGAAGTGAGCTATGAGAGTTTCTCCTTGAATAGGAATCATTTCACAGCTCATAGAAGTAATGGGACTAGAAAAGTATCTTAGATTATTTAGTAGTAACAACTCTTTATTTTTATACATGAAGATACCTAGAGTAGTTAATGGCTTGTCGAAATCACAGGTCTAGATGTGATTAGGACTAAAGCTCCCAGACCAGTTTTCTTTAGTTATGTCAGTAACCTCTGTGTATCTAATAATAGTACAGTAGTTTTTAAAACCAGGTATGCATAATATCTGTGTGATATGCATGTTTTATTAAGAATCCTGTTTTTAGATAATGAAGGTAACAACTTGATATATTATTTCACTATGATTTTTTTTTAAAGAAGTCATGTACTTTTCTTTTTTTTTCTTTTTTTTTAATATTTTATTTATTTATTTTTAGAGAGGGAAGGGAGGGCGATAGAGAGAGAGAGAGAGAGAAACATCGATGTGCGGTTGCTGGGGTTTATGGCCTGCAACCCAGGAATGTACCCTGGCTGGGAATCGAACCTGGGATACTTTGGTTCCCAGCCCGCGCTCAATCCACTGAGCTACGCCAGCCAGGGCTCATTATGATTTTTTTATAAGTGGAAACCTATATTAAGTGTTCTAAAATAACTGCAATTCATTATTTTTCTCCTCTGTGTAGCATAAGGTGTGGAATTGACAAATGGTATTTTAAATTGCCCCTGAGAATGAAAGCCTTAAGCACTCTATCACTTGCTTAGTGGTTCGTTCCTGTGGCATAAATTGTTCAAAAAGCCTGAAAAATCCTTGAATGAACTTACTTTATAATTTCCTCTGAATTTTTATCTAAACTATATGTATTCAGTAATAATTATGTGTATGCATATATTTCTTATTTAGTATATGTATGTATATATTTATCATACATAGTTGCTTATGCTTTCCACAGTGAGGGGAAAATTATATTTTGTGAGAAATGACATTTAAGAGTTTTAGAATGCTTTCTGATATTATGGGGCCATGGGAGATTTCAGATTGTTTATTGTTTCCTCTCCTTCCTTCCTCCATGTTCTGTGCTTGTGTTCTTTGTAAACAAGCACTCAGAATATAGACTTGAACAAAGTGAGAATTGTATGTACCAGACTATGTTTTCTGGAGTTAATCTCTTGTTTCCCTTTCTTATCACAAACCTTTATTGGCTCCATATTGTCTTTAGCATAAACTGTGTGCTCTACCATTCGGTATCTGATCCTACATTTTCATCCTCATTTCTCACTCCTAGTCTGCCCATACTACCATTGTACAGCCATTTCCTGCTTACAGTCATTACTCATGATCATGACCTCCCACCACCATGCTGTTTTCCAACCCCCCAACTATCTGAATCCTATTAGTTTTCTTGAGTGTTACTCAAAGACCACTTTCTGTATGAATTCTTTGATGATTCTCCCAGATAGAAGTATCTCTTCTGGCCCTGGACTGTGTGGCACAGTTGGTTGGAGTGTTGTTCCATAAACCAAAAGGTCGCAGGTTTGATCCTCAGTCAGGGCACATTCCTAGGTTGCAGGTTTAGTCCCTGGTTGGGCATGTACAGGAGGCAACTGGTCGATGTTTCTCTCTCACACTGATGTTTCTATCTCTTCCTTCCCCTCCCTCTAAAATCAATAAATGTGTCCTCAGATGAGTATTAAAAAAGGTAATTCCTTCTAAACTCCTTCAATAATCTTTAAAAAATTATATGGCATATCCCTGTCTGGTGTGGCTCAGTGGATTGAGCGCTGGCCTGTGAACCCAAAGGACACCAGTTCAATTGCCAGTCAGGGCACATGCCTGTGTTGCAGGACAGGTCCCCATTGGGGGCAGCCAAGAGGCAACTGATTGATGTCTCTCTCACATGTCAATGTTTCTCCCTCCCTTTCCCTCTCTCTAAAAGTAAATAAAATTTGAAAAAAATATATTTGGTATATAAATATATTTTTAGTATTTATGCAAGTTATGAAGCATAATAACAAAATAACCACCTGTAAACAAAATACCAAACATGGGATAAAAAATGACTAATCTTTCTTTACTGTCCTGATTACATCTTCCTTCCAAACTTCCCATCCCCAATCTCTAGGTAACCACTCTCATCAAACTTGTATTATGCTTTTCTTGCTTCTCTTTATCATAATTGTATCCCAAATGCTCACATCATTAAGGATTATAACATGTTTTGCATGTTTTTCAACTTTGTACAATTGGTGTCACACTGTGTTTATTTTCTGTGGTTTGCTTTTTTTACTCCCCTGTATGTTTTTGACTTTCATTCATTGCTCTAGTTGTTCCAGTTTATTCATTTTCAGGGTACAGTTTTATACTCATTACATAAGAGTACTAGAATTTATTAATTCTCCTTCTGATGAACAGTTTGCTGTTCTTACCAGTTTATTGTTACATAGACATGCTCTTTAAAATTTTTTTATATGTAGCCCTGGCTGGTGTGGCTTAGTGGACTGAGCACCGTCCTGCAAACTGAAAGGTCACTCACTAGTTCGATTCCCGGTTGGGGCACATGCCTGGGTTGCAGGCCAGGGCCCCAGTCAGGGAGTACAAGAGGCACCTGATCAATGTATCTCTCACAAATTGATGTTTCTCTTCCCTTTCTTTCTCCCTCCCTTCCCTCTCTCCAAAAGTAAATAAAATCTTTTTAAAAAATAAATTTTTATAGGTATACTTAGGAGAGCTTTGGTTTATAGGAAGTGGATAACTTCAACTTTATTAGATAATGTTTAATTGTTTCCCAGAGTGGTCAGTGGTTTATCAGTTTATATCTACCTGTCCTCATCCACAGTGTGTGAGTTGCCAACAGTTGATGTTACCAGAGTTTTAATTTTTGCCAGTCTGGTGGGTATAAAATGGTTTCTCATTTTGATTTGCATTTCACTAATTATTAACGAGGCTGGGCATATATTCATGTATTTACTGGCCATGAATATTTTGTCTTTTGTGATATATGAGGTCTGTCCAGAAAATGTCCAGCCATTGTTAATATAACAAAAATGGTTTATGTGAAATCAGTATAATCTGGCAGCCAAGGAAAGTGGACTGAAATGTGCATGTATGAATAGTGATGACTTCACTGAACTAGTCAGTGGGGGCAGTAGACACCACTGAGTGAGCATGTGTACTGTGTGGCTGTCACATTCAAAATGACTGAGCAAGTAGAGCAATGAAACTGCATCAAATTTTGCATTAAACTTGAACATTCCTCCCCTGAAACTATTCGGATGATTCAGAAGGCCACAGCTATAGGCAAATGGTGATTGGCAGCTTCATCATGACAATGTGCCTGCTCATGTATCACATCTTGTGCAGAGTTTTTTTGCAAAACATCAAATCACTCTCAGGTAACTCTGCCCCGCTACAGCCCACATTTTGCATTGAGTTGTGCCTTTCTGCAAAACTAAAATCACCTTTGAAAGGAAAGAGATTTCAGCTCATCAATGAGATTCAGAAAATATGACAGGGCAGCTGATGGCGATTGGGAGAACTATGTGAGGTCCCAAGGTGCCTACCTTGAAGGGAACTGAGGCATCATTGTCCTGTGTACCATGTTTCTTCGTATCTTGCATCTTCTTCAATAAATGTATATTTTTCACATTACATGGCTGGATACTTTCTGGATAGGCTTCATATGTCTCTGTTTATGTCTTTTACCTATATTTCTATTAGTATTTTCTTGGGAATTTCTCTAAGTTTTTTTAACATATATACTCACCTATGACCTGTTTCTAACAGAGTTGTTATTACTAATTGTATTATCAGTTTTCGGTTGCTGTGTTTTAAGCCACAAATTTAGTGACTTGAAACAACAAAAATGTATTATTTCACAGTCTCCATGGGCTAGGAGCTCAGGCACAGCTGTGCTGAATCTTCTGCTCAGGGCATCTCCAAGTGTCAGCCATGCTGGGGTTCTCATTTGGAGCGCAGGATCATTTGGTTGTTGGCAGATTCACTTTCTTGCAGACCCCTATTTTAAATTTATTTTTATTTCTTTTTAGAGAAAGGGGAAGGGAGGGAGAAAGGGAGAGAAACATCAATGTGAGAGAGAAACATTGATACGTTATCTCTCGTACATTCCCTGACCAGAGACCGAACCTGCAACTCAGGCATGTGCCCTTACGGGAATTGAACTGGTGACACCCAATCAGCTGAGCCACACTAGTCAGGGAGATCCCCATTTTCTTAATAGCTGTTGTCTCCTGAAGACTGCCTGCAGTTCCTCGTCTCATAGCTCATAGGTGGTTTTACAATATGGATGTTTGCTTTCTTCCAGGTCAGCAAGATTTTGTCTCTTCACTTTGAATCTTTGACCTCTATACCTAGATTTAGAGGTCTTATGCCAGGCACACCCTGATAATCTCCCTGTTGATTAACTCAAAAATCAGTTGATTAGTAACCTAATATTCACAAGTGCTCCCCACTCAAGGGGAGGGAGTTAAACAAGACATGTACACCAGGAGGCAGACAGAATTTTGTCTGCCACACAGTCATAGTTGATGACACAGACCTAAGCGTACTTTCTCTACTCAATACCTTCATTGGTGGAGAAATGGCACCAGGTGTTACACCAGTGGAGTCAGACCAGACCAGACCTTGGTTCAGCAACTCAATACTTGAGTTCTAGCTAAGAAAGAATTCAGAGCCAAGATTCAAACTGTAAGAGAAAGTTTATTTAGAGTTTCTGCAGGGCGCTCCTGGCTTTCCCAAGGACACAGGGCTAGCATGGGAATACCCCATAAAAGCCTGTGACCTGGACCATGTCTGGCCCAATAGCTGAAATAAGCAGCCAGATTTGGTTAATCCTGGGGCAAGATTCTGTGAACAGTTCTATGAACAGATTCTAGTTTTCAAGGAAAGTGAGTGTTAACTTCTGTGACGGGGATTTTTGTATTTGGTACTACTTTCAGAACTATCAAAGGAAGCTTGCACATGTCTAGTGAACGTATCTGCTCTTATAATGTTGAACAGCTCTCATCAGAAAGTTGTTTTGTAATTCTAAATGAAGGAAAATATCTCATTAATTAAGGGCTGATTTGTTACTGTTTCATTAAAAAATACTTAAGTTAGTGCTCAATAAAGACCACTTACAGTTAAAAGGAAAAAAACACCTTATCTACAACTTAAAAACTACTTAAGGCTTATTTGAATATGAAGTTGTTTATATTTCATGTTTGTGCATCCTATCTGTGGTACTACCTTCTCTGTAAGTTTTCTTTTTCCCTCACTGTCTCATACATAACTGTATTATCTTAGTTCATTATGTTCATGATTTGCCTTTATTAGCCCAGTGAGATTACAAGCTCCAAGAGCACGTACCTAATCTTAACATTTTTTGTAACTTTTGAGGCAATAATATCTATCTTGATCTATATAGTAAAGTTGTGCCATCTGACTAAGGGAGTCATCAATATTTTTGGCTTTTAGCTAGATTGCAACAGTGTGATAATACAAGTTATACCACACTCACCAGAAGCCCTGATAAAATTGGGGGGGGGAAGTTTCATTTAATAAATGCTAGTTATTTCTTTAAAAACTTTCTAAACATGGGTGTTTCATGGTGAAAAGTTAGGAATTAGTGTGTGGTAGTGACTGGCGTAGTATGGACTAATAATGATTACTAAAAATATGATTGATTTATTGATAGAAAGTAATCAATAAGCTTTTTTGTTTTAGGGAATGTTGTGGGCAACTTGGGACACTCCTTCTTCAGTCAGAGTTTCCTTGGCAGTAAAGAACATGGTGGATTCCTGTACGTGACGTCTACCTACCAGTCACTGCAAGACCTTGTGCTCCCGGCCCCACCTTACTTGTTTGGGATTCTCGTACAGAAATGGGAAACTCCTTGGGCCAAAGTGTTTCCCATCCGACTAATGTTGAGACTTGGAGCTGAATATCGACGTAAGTAGTAAAATACCTTCTTCTAAAACACATGAGCAAGACATGCTGACTACATAAAGTCTTGAAATATTCAGAGCCACACCTCCCCACCCCCAGTGATACAATTCAGCAGAATTTTGAAATAGCTAAGCTAAACTTAGCCATTGTCTCCACTTATTTTGCCTAGAATGGGAGAGACAGAAAATATCAAATGAGAAAGTTAGTGGTTATTTATTACCTTGTAAACTTATTGGCTTTATAGTTCATTGATGAATGCATAATCATTTTGAGAAAAAATGAATTTGAACTTAACAAATAACTTTATTTTTTATAGTTTCTATATATGGTCAGTGCATTTTTTTGTCACTTGGTTGGAAAATAGCTGCAGCAAATTATATTTTATGAACCTAACAGATACTGGGAACTAGTGGTATAGAGATCACTCTCTCAGTTGACAAGACAAGCAACAGAAAAGCTCCCTGGCCCATGGTTGTAGCAGTGCAACGACGTTGTGATTTTTTTCTAAGATGTCAAGGACTAAATGCAAACTTTATTTTATCTTTGTATCTTCACCTAGTTGAAAGTGTCTAGACATCAGACCACTTGAATAGGTTCTTAATTTTGCCACTTATTAGCTTTGTAACTTTGGCCAAATCACTCAAGTTGTCTGATTGTCTGTTTCTTTTGCAACTGGAGATGATAATGCTTGCCTTTTATATTATATAGGGTTTTTAAGAGGATCAAGTGAGATGAAAAAATTATTTTATAAACCATAAAACCATATACTGTATGTTCTCAGCAAGTCAGCTTTATAATTTCACTTATTTATTCATTAATGAACAAGAATTTAATAAAGGCCTACCATGTGTCATGAATTCTGGGAATTCAGAAATAGCCAAGATATGGTTATAGGCTCTTAGAATCTTTTGTAAAGAAAATGTACAGAAATCATGAAGTAGTATATTGTATTAAAACACATACTCAAAGTTAATACTAAGGGTTCTTTGGGAGTTCCAAGATGGACTCTTAACTTCACCTAGAATGAAGGAATCAGATGAGAAACATTTTTTGGACCAAGGGCCTCTGGACTGAACTGTGAAGGAAGCATGTGAATCAGCCTAGTGAAGTATGTAAAGGAAAGGGTTGTGTGCAGATGAGCCAACATGTATAACTTCTTGTCTTTTTAAAAAATTTAATTTACTGATTTGAGAGAAAGAGAGAAACATCAATTTGTTGTTCCACTTATTTATGCATTTCTTGTGATTCTTGTATGAACCTGCAACCTTGGTGTATCAGGATGATGCTCTAAACAACTGAGCTACCTGGCTGGGGCCTATAACTGCATGTCTTGAACAGACAGTTCAAGTCATAAAGTTCAAGGAGTTAGCCAGCTAATAGGATCACCTGGTATTTGGCTCACCTAAGGAGGGTGCCAGTCAGGAGATGTCTGAGTGAACTCTTTTAGACTTCTTGAGCACAAAGGAATCAGAAGATATTTATTTATTTTTTTAATGTATTTTATTGATTATGCTATTACAGTTGTCCCATTTTCTCCCCTTCACTCCCCTCCACCCTGTACACCCTCTCCCACCCATATCCCCCCTTTAGTCATGTCCATGTGTCATACTTATAAGTTCTTTAGCTTCTACATTTCCCATACTATTCTTACCCTCCCCCTATCTATTTTCAACCTACAATCTATGCTACTTATCTCTGTACCTTTTCCCCCCCCTCTCCTCCTCCCACTCCCCTGTTGCTAACCCTCCATGTGATCTCCATTTCTGTGGTTCTGTTCCTGTTCTAGTTGTTTGCTTAGTTTCTTTTGGTTTTGCTTTAGGTATGGTTGTTAATAATTGTAATTTTGCTGTCCTTTTACTATACATGTTTTTTCTGTAAGAAGATATTTATTTCTTAGATCATGTTAATGTACTTTGAAGAACAGTGCTTCCTAAGACTTTCTGTCATTTTTGAAACAACAGCTTCAAAAGGCTTATTCTGGTCATCAAATGACTGGTATAGTTTATAGAAGGCTTAGGATTTGCCTGTGATGCTAATATGCTAAATACTTTTTGAGCTCTAAATTTCATATGCTCTAGTGAGCCATTATAATTATATTTGGAAAATTGTATCAACCATAATATCTGTTTTACCCAAATTTTAAAGTGCCAGACTTAGTCTGATCATTTCTCATTTCCCTAGTTTATCCGTGCCCACTATTCAGTGTCAGATTTCGGAAGCCATTGTTTGGAGAGACGGGGCATACCATCATGAATCTTCTTGCAGTAAGTTGGGAATTTTTGCTTTCTTTTTCCTTATCTGAGTTTGTATGGGAGAAGGGAGAGAAAGATTTTATCATTTTGTTGATAGCAATGTCCCTGCTGTTTCAGGCAGGTGAAGATTTATGTTAAAGGAAAAGAACAACTATATATATATATATATATATATATATATATATATGTGTGTGTGTGTGTGTGTGTGTGTGTGTGTGTGTGTGTGTGTGTATGTATGTATATATGTATATATGTATGTGTGTGTATACACATATACATACACACACACACTATATTATATAAACACTATATATATATATATATATATATATATATATATATATATATATATATAGTGTTTGGAAAGTGTAAGGAGCTTTGGAGCAAATTAGTACAGGATTCCAGCCCCTGATTATACACTTACTATCTAAGTGACCTTGCAGGATTATTGAGGACTACAGGTAATGTATAATTAAAGCACAGAGCATTCTGTCTTGTTTTTATTTTAAGTCTGGTGTCCTAGAGTATATCTAGAATATATCTAGAATCTGAAAACTTCTCACAACCTTTTGAACTGTTAACATCATGGTCCAGATGATTGCTGTCTCTTGCCTAGATTATTTTTATTATGTTTATCTGATCTTCTTCCTTCTGTCCTTGCTCTCTTACCATCTATTCTTTGTAAAGAGGTCAGGGCATGTTCCTAGCTAGTCCTCAAACATTGCAAACTCCTCTCATAATGGTAGACACATGTGCTCAGCATTGATCTGCCCCTCCCCAGTCCCAGAATGTGGTGGCCCTCCTGATTCCAGTTTTAGGATAGCATGGAATTCCTGGGTCCTGGTTTTTTTTTATATTTAAAGCTAATTTTTAATTACTCATTTCGTTCAATGTAAGCTGCCACGCATCTTTGTGTCAATATAGTACAAGCACAAACCTGGCCAAAAAAAAAAGTAAAGGTCTTTATGGTGGCCTATAAGACCCTATGAAATTTAGCTTTATGCTATAACTTTGACCTTGACTCCTACCACTCCTGCTCATTTTGCTTCAACCACACTAGATGTCAGGCGTATATATGTGTGTTTTACCCTACAAATATTCATTCAGTGTCTAGGGTGTTCCAGGCATTTGGAATATAAAAACAACCCAAGTGAAAGTTCCTACCCTCTTGGAGCTTACCTTACGAGGAAGAGACAGTTAACAAATAAATACTGAAAGTGTTAAGTGGTGTCAAGCAGGGTAAGCATTCAAATATTTGTTTAATATTATATAGGAGATATATGAATCATTTTAATCTTCTTCTTTGTAAGTATAGTCTAATAGAAAGCTAGAGTACACAGACACAGTGGGGTTTTCATTATCCTAATTATTTAGATAAATGGGATCTTTCAGTTTTGACAATCTTTACATTTTTACTAATATTATTGTAAATGAAATCCTGCCATGGATGACTTCTTTATTGTACTTCAATCTGCCTTTCCATAGGACTTCAGAAATTACCAATATACATTACCAGTAGTCCAAGGTTTGGTGGTTGACATGGAAGTTCGGAAAACAAGCATCAAAATTCCCAGCAACAGATACAATGAGGTAAGATTTAACATGAAAACATATTTTTCATAGTTGAATGTATGAATGAAGGTAAAAAATGTGGGATTACATATAAATTTATTGTTTAATTAACAGTGAAATCAGTTTTTAATATTGTATGACCTAGATCAATAATGGGGAATTTCATAATAGGCAAGATGTTAAATTTGTGATTTATTTAGTCATTAGTTGTGCTTTTGACTTTTGGACGCTGTGATAGTGATAGGTTTGCATTTTGATTAAGATATAAAATTAACTTCATAGCATTCATGGTATGATCTTTTCATCTTTCCCTTTTATTGTAAGTACATGTTATTTTTGACTGTTCTTAATGTTTAAGCACAATTCACTTTAAGTCCTGAAATGACTTTTAAGTAAGGTTCCAAAAGCAAATTATTGCATCTTAAATTAAGCTGTATTTTGTAACTAAAATGAAATTATGCATACTACACATGTATTAACAGAATTAGATAAATATGTTCTTTACCTATTTGTCATGTGAATTCTTGCTTGAATTAAAAATTTTCTTAAAATCATTTTTAAACTAATGGTGGGGGTGGAGGGATGAAGCAAAAAAGGAAGAAAATGGAGAGAAAACTCATGGACACAAACAACAGTGTGGTGATTTTAGGGGAGGGGAGGGGAGTGTGTGGAGGTGGAAGATGGTATGGGGGATAAATGGTGATGAAAAAAACAATAAAAACTTCCTGTACTTAAAAATATTGTGGTTTAAAAGAGAAATTTTATTTTAAAACTTAACTTGATATTATAATGGTTACAGTTTGTTTTGTTTTAATTTGTTCTTTTATTAGGCAGGGTGGTAACTTCCTGATTACTTCTTTTACTATTTCTTGGTATGAAATAATTTTCTCCCTTCCCTCCTTCCTTTTTCAGCATCTATTTACTTATTTACTTGTACATTCAATAAATATTCTGTTCTTGGTATGTACTTAGAGTCACACAAATGTTTTACTGGACTTAAAGCTCAGCGCTCCACATTGTTGTGTAGGGGTGGCCTCTGTGAAGGAAGCCTTTACCCAAGGCTTAAAATAGTAACGAGTGTATGTTTAACTTCTTCTGGGATGTAATTATCAGTTTTTAGCTGTTCTACCTTGGAATATCAGAGAGCATTAATCGACTAGACTAAGTATAAACAAATCTTTAAAATGAACTATTTTTATATAATTTGTGCCCTAAGTAGTATTAAAAGACATTATGCTTTGGAAACTTGTTATAGTTCTCATATTTGAAGTTTTATTATCTATTTCACAAACATCAATTATATTCTATGATATGAAATTTAAAAAATTAGTAAGGACATTATGCTTTGCCTTGTTGGAGCACACTGTCCAGCAATAAGATGATCAGGTGTCATCTCCAAGCAGATAACATATATTATTGGGTTGGCCAAGAAGTCCATTCAGTTTTTTCTGTAAAATAAAAGACACATTTTTCATTTTCACCAATAATTTTGTTGATTTGGATATTTTGAGTGTGTTGACTATCTCTCATGTGGTATAATGTTGGTAGCTCTCAATGAATGTTGTGATTTGATTGCCATCAACTACAACTGGTCTACCAGACAGTGGAGCATTGTCCAGTGCAAAATCTAAAGCACCAAGCTTTGCAAACTACTTTTGATATGTCCGATCAGTCACAACACCGTCTCTATACACTGCACAAATCTTTTGTGGGGGGGGGGTTCAGTTGCGTTTTTACTTTTCTTGAAATAAGAAAGCATACTATGCTGAAAATGTTGTGTATTTTCTTCCATCTTCAATATTAAAATGGCTACACAAAAATTCACTGATTTTGATAATTTTTTCTAAATGCATGCCAATAATGACAGCTGTCACAATACAACTAGCATAATTGTTTTGAATAAAGACAGCTAAACAACTCTAGTAAGAGTCGTTTTATGGAAAAAAACAAAACAAACTTTTTGACTATCCCAGTCAAAAAGTGTTGGTGTTTGCAAGGTGGTACTTTGTGTTGGGAATTGGGTCTGTTTCGTGTATCTGTAAAAACTGTGAGACTCCCCGCGGTTATTTCAGTACTGACTGATGACATTCATTACAACAGCTGCCATTCATATTATCTGTCTTTCTCTGAGTTTTGCCTCCTGGATTTATAGTTGTTCAGGTTCAGAAATCTTTGTTCAAAAGTAGTAACTATATTTCTTATCATTTATTATATTCCATTTTCAATCAAGTTCACCAATTTATTATCACTTATTTTTCTTACCTGATTTAGCAGACTGACTTTCCTTCTAATTCAGTTTTTGTTTCAACTCAACATAATTGACTTTCTTAGTCTCAGACAGATGAACTGTGTTGTGTCTAATAATTCTTCACTTTATATTTGAAAAAGTAATTTCTTATACATTATTTCACTTAATCACCACAATATTCCACTTTTCCTCACATTAATCTTTCCATTTATACCAATGGTCTTTCTTATTATTTCCTAAATTCTGTTCCTTTTTTGCTTTATAGCCTTTGCACAAGCTATTTCCTTATTGATGCACACTTGCCATACTCTTCACCTGCCTCATCCTCACTCATTTTTCTGGCATCAGCTTAAATGGCATTTTCTCAGCTAGGTTTTTGTTAAGTCCCTACTGGGGTAACTCTCCCTGTTATAAGTGTCCTAGAATTCTACACATCCTATGTGCAGTACTCAGTACATTTGTAATGATCTTGTTCAGTGTCTATTTTCTCTACTAGACTTCTAGTTCCATGAGAGACTATATCTTATTTACCACTGTACTGTTAGCAGACTACCTGATATAGAGTAATTGCACAAGAAATATATATTGAATGAAGACATGAAACAGAGCTAACATGGATAGAACAGTATAAAAACAAGTTTTGAGATTTATTGTAAGTTTACTAAAAGTTTAGAGAGGGGAGAACTCTGATTAATGGAGCTGTTAAGAATGTTTCTTCATTTCTAATTGGTTCTGAGTCTCTAACAGCCAGAGCACCATGTTCCATGTAGAAGATGTTTTTAAATGTTCATGTAAATGTAAATGCTGTCTAAATATAAATGCATGAAATATTTGAAATGGACAGTGAATGATGTTTAGGTGCTAAAAAGAGAAGGGTGAAAAACAACAAGTGAAAAGGAGAATAGATGCTATCTTAAACCAAGGCAGGAAAGCATCAGGAATGATCGTGTCTTGTGGGGACCGTGGGAGAGAACCCGCCTAGTGAAGAAGAGGCTAAGCGGACTGGGAATGAAGCTGTGCAGAGAGGCTGTTGGGTTTTCAAAGGCCTTCAAAAACAGACAAGGAATGTAGACTTTAATATGATAATTTGTGAAGAGGTTTCACACATTCTATATTAGAAAAGTGACAATGAAAATAATTTTAGAAAACTGAGTTCTGGCAGCTACATGTAAAATGTGGAAAGAGGGGCTCACCAGGGGAGACTTTAAGCTTAGAAACCTAGAAAAAAAAACAGTACTTCTGGCAGCACAGAAAATGAAAAAATGAAGTAGTCATTGTAAATAAATAATCTGATCTTATTCTTCAAGGCCATTGAAGGTCTCTGTTGGTTTAGGTAACCCTATTCACATCTTATAATGAGATGATTTTTATCATTGTGTTAACTAACATTTATTGATGGTGTATCATATACCAGATACTGACTAGGCATGTATGTATCCTTAAGAAACATAGAAAAAAAAAAGACCCAAGTCAAACAAAAAAATGATAATGAGATGAAATACACACTGAATTAAACATTGCTGAAAAAAAAATTAGTAAGCTTAAAAACAGTAACAGAAACTATCAAAATGAAACACAAAGAGAAACAACTAAAAAATTAAATGAACAGCTTATAATTGAATTGTGGGAAGTGTTAGATGGCCTAACTCTGTAATTGAGGTCCCCAAAGGAGAGAAGAAATGGGCAGACAGAAAAATATTTGAAAAATCAATTATGGAAAGTTTTATAAATTTAATGAGAAATATAAACCCATAGATTCAGGAAGCTCAGTGAACTCCCCAATAAAAGGAAATAGGATGAAAACTACATCAAGGAACATTATAACCATCATCATCATAAAATGATGTAACACCAGTGCTAAAAAGAAGAAACTTAGAAACACCTAGAGAAAAAAAATCCACATTAAATACTGAGAAACCAATAGAAGAATGACAACGCATTTCTCATCAAAACAATTCAAGATGCAAGACAGTGCAGCAGAATCTTTAAAGTGCCAAAAGCCCTGGCCAGTGTGGCTAGTTGGTTGGACACCATCCTGCAAACCAAAAAGATTGTGGATTCAGTTCCCATTTGTTGCACACACTCAGGTTGCAGATATGACCCCAGTCGGGGTGCATATGAAGGCAACAGATCAGTGTTTCTCACATCGATGCTTCTCTCCCTTTCTTTCTCCTTCCCTTCCCCTCTTTCTAGGATCAGTGGACATGTCCTCAGATGAGGATAAAAAAAATAAACTGTCAATCTATATCTTATACTGAGTAAAAATATTTTTCAGAAATCAAGCAAAATGCTTTTTCAGAAATATAATAGCTAAAAGATTGTATTATTAGCAGACCTATTCCATGAGAAATGTTAAAGGAAGCCCTTCATGGAGAACTCTAAACAGTGGAAATATGAATCTTCATAAAGGAATGAAGTACATCAAAAATAATAAATGTAAAACCTCTTTAAAAGGTAATTAAAACAAACAAAAAACCACAATGTATTGTGGAGTTTATAACTTATGTAGAAACAAAATAAATGGCCTCAATATCACAAAGGCCAGGGAAAGGGAAACAGAAGTATACAGATGTAAGGTTCTTATAGGACATGGGAGGTGGTGTAATATTTCTTAAAGGTAGAATGATAAAGATATATAACATAAATCCAAATGTAGCCATTAGAAAAATTAAAGCAAAGAGGTATGGCTAATAAGCCAATAAAGAAGATAAACTGGAATAATATAAAAAAGACTGAAAAAAAAGAGGACAAAGAGGAGATGGAACCAAAA